CAGAGGGAGGGACAGGATCAGGTATTCTTGCTTTAGTAAAAGGTAGACACCAAAGCCACATTGGACCTGTAATTAAAATAATAATTCATTAATAATAACCATTAATAACTGACCACGCCCACACACTGCTGTAATTAAACTCGTTTTAGATTCCTTTGGTTTGCCCACAGGACGACCGTATCTCTTCACTTCAACAAACGTTCTATTGCACAATACTGCTAGTATCAATATGGAGGATATACATGTACATGTACATTATGTGAATGTAATACAATGTGTGGATTATTATTATTTTTACTTGTGATATTAGCATTCCGTTAACAAAGAAAGTAAATAAAGCATCAATGATGAACAAACCAAATGTTAATAAATGTTAACCAAATGTCCATTTCTTAATTACATTTTCTGATGCATATTGATGTACTTATGCTATGTAAAAAGTTTGAGCTGAAATTTTTGAGTTATGACCATTTTTTTAAATAAGCCAAATTCTCAAATACTCTGTTTAATACTGAATGTTTACCAAATCAACACCATGCATTAGTGCAAAGGGCCAGGATATTGATTCACATAATTTTAATTTGAAGATAAAAGTATAAAATATGTTACTATATTTTTTTATAAAATTGTTAAAAATTAATTTCTTCATAAGTCACGTGTTGTTGCTGTACAGTTGTTGTTCCTCTCACCTCACCATAAGCTGGATTAACATTAATATTTAATTTATTGAATTTATTAATATCTTCATATGCTGCATTAGGTACTGTAGCTATGTGTTGAGATGAGGTAGCCCCTGTAATAATGAATAATAATGAATAAATATTACCATTATCTTACTATTCCCGTTCCTTTTATACACAACATACACAGTCACACACACTGCTGCTATTATTATTATTATTATAACAATAGTCAGTGATATTACTACTGGTACGATGATAACTATATGAATATAAATAATAATAATAATAATAATATTGTGTATTATATAACTAACCAGTACTAGATGAAGTTGTACCTGGTGTATTAGTAAGTAATGGAGTATTAGTAGGAGATGGTGTATTACTGATAGCTGGAGTAAAGTCCGTATAATAATGTGATGAATAATACATGTACATTAACATTATACTGAATACTAGTAATATACTGAAT